TCCAGTTATGACACACTAATAGGCACGGGGCAATATTATATGCTTCTGATATATAGTAATATAGTAGTATATATGGTTGCTAATGACAGGCTGAATATGCAGATGATAGGCTGATCTATGTGGGTTCTGAAAAAGATAACTCGTATCATACTAATTAGTTACTGTAAATTGGTTTCACGTACTTCACAATGTTTTAAGGGTGTGTTTAGTTCATGTCAAAATTGGAAATTTGGTTGAAATTAGAATAATGTGACCGAAAAGTTGGAAGTTTATTTGTGTGTAGGAAAGTTTTGATGTGATGAAAAAATTGAAAGTTTGAAGAAAAAGTTTGGAACTAAACAAGGGCTAAAAAGAAAAAAAAAAGCATATTTTACTTTACTGAATCATTTCACTGTATCACTTAACTCTCCAAAGTATTTTTCGGTTAATTTTACATCCTAAACTATGGAAACGGTTCACTTTATTCCCTAATGATATTTCTCTATATAAGTAGTATTTTGCAGTGAAATTTAATAGAATCGATAGATGCATTATAATACCCCCCACAACTGTTTTTACATTTTTCTATCATTGTTAATATATGCTGTAAGAACTGGGCTGCTTTAAACATTGAGGTTTTAAATTTTCAAGAAAATAAGTCACAGAAAAAATTGAAAATATTTTGAAAGTTTGATAATGGTGTCATCAATGACTATAAAATTTTAGTTTAAAATATAAAGAGAAACAAAGAAGAGAAACGAATAAAGTGAAGCATTTCTAAGTATTTTAGGGGGGGGGGGTAAAATGAGAAAAAATAGTTTAAGGGGTTAAATAGTGCAAAGAAATAGTTTGTGGGAGTAAAATGATTTTTAAAAAAACAACTTTAACCATCAATATTTCTTATATAGTTATTTAAATTCCAAATTAAATATGTAACAAAACCTTTATAATATGGAAATACACTGAAATTAATTAATTCAAACAGATTGTCCCAATTTATATCACTAGTTAACTACATAGGAGTAGATTAACTTTAAAATTGAGTCCTCATGAGAAAATCACATATCTGTGCTCTTTGTTTTTTTTTGAGGGGGTTCTCTTTGTTTGTTAACACTACATATTTTGAAAAGTAGCTAGATAATTAATATAACGATAACCGTGTTTACCAAGAATAATCCAAGACAGCTCATATTATTTTGTCGCGCTTCAAGTGATCAGTTGTAGACGCGGTACGTACATATACTATTCTGAGGCTCCCGTTAATTTTGGTTCAGATCGAGTAGTACCGAGTAGATGAACTTGTTGCTTAGTACTTGACTTCTTTTTTTTCTTATCCCAAGGTCTGGTCTCCAACGAAGAACTCTTCTGGAGTTCCGACACACTACGTTGAAAATGTGTTATCATGGCATTTTCCGATATCTGCCCCTTTTGGTTCACTGTCACCTTTTCTTTTTTTTCGCTAGGTTTCCTTTTGTGTGGAATTTTTCATGCGTAATTGTTTGCCCTCAAAGTAAAAGGCCACGTTTGCAAAAACTAAATCTAAGGGTACTAGCTTCACTGTTGAAAAATAGAAGCTTTTGATCTAGATAAGCTATTGAGATTGAAAATGTCGTTAAACAGAAAGTTCTTTATAGTTGATATATATAGCAAAAGCATAACAGCGACATATGGCGCTGGCTGCCACGACGATCGAGTTCAATCAAAGCTACTCCCTCCGTTTCTAAATATTTGACGCCGTTGATTTTTTTAAACATGTTTGACCGTTCGTCTTATTTAAAAAATTTAAGTAATTATTAATTATTTTCCTATCAATTGATTCATTGTTAATATATTTTTATGTAAACATATAGTTTTACATATTTCATAAAAGTTTTTGAATAAGACGAATGGTTAAACATGTTTAAAAAAGTCAACGGCGTCAAATATTTAGAGACGGAGGGAGTATTATACAGGGATCGAATTACACAGCGTTTGGAGCTTCTGATAATGACTGATGCGTGAACAAGCGACGGTCGAGCTAACTGGTGGCATTTGTAGTATTGACACCGGCCAACAAATGAGAAGCTGCGTTTTGATTTGTCACGCTATGTAATCTTCACCACCGATTTTTTGATCCAATATGTATGCGATGCTCATAAATGCTGTTTTTTTCCAGAACGTAAGGGTTTTCTATCCATCCAACAGAGCATTTGCTCAATCATAGTTTAACTGAAACCCCAAAAGTCCACTTTGGTAGATAAATAAAACTACTATGTCTGGACACGTGCTGTTTTTCTAGAGCATATGTTGTCAGTAAAATTCCTCAATGCCTTACCACGTAGGTAATCAAATCATAGAGCATCGAAAACGATTGACAAATGATAACCCAAACACATGCATCGAAATAGAAATATATTTACAGTTGGTAGTAAAATCACTCTAGCTAGACCTTTCATCCTTTTTACAACTTTTTTAGCTTTGCACGCTATACATTAACAACACCACAGGTTTTTATGTTGATCCGGCCAGAGCTAGCGTCGATTGGTTTGAAACCGTGTGCAATTTCAAGCTTGATGATTATTCGACGGTCGATAGTGAAAAGTCCACGGCGTTTCAGAGTAAAAGTATACCAACGCATGTGTATGCATATGCAACTGTGCGAGCGAGCAGTTATCACCTTCCGTTTTGCAGAGAGGTAGTTAATTTGTCAGTTAATTTCTTGACCGGCTCTGCATCATCATGTCTGAAACTGAACCACTTTGTCCTGACTTCTGACTAACTGAAAGCGAGCGTACGTTACCCCCAGATAGAGCATGCGCCACGCGCAGACAAAAAAACGGCGACCGAGAGTCGGCGGCCGCGGTTGAGTCATGCATCAATGTATGATTCAGTCCACCTCCCATCTAGCTGGTACAGCAGCACCTCATTAATCCCTTTTTTAAGCTAAAGATAACGGGAGGGCAAAACTTATGATCTTTATTAGTGAATATCGTAAAAACATGGCATGACCCAAAGATATTGGTAATTTGCTACTCCCTCCGTTTCATGCTATAACTGTTTCAAGTTTGACCAAGATTATATAAAAAATAGTAATATTTTTTACTCAAGATAAATTTATTATAAAAATATATTTAATTATTAATTTAATAAAACTAATTTGACAATATAAATATTATTATATTTGTATATAAACTTAGTCATACATAAAGCAGTTTGATTTTGACCAAAGTTAAACTATTTTCTCATTTCTGAACTAAATGGGGAAAGAAACACATAAAAAGATGAAAATGCCCCTTCGGCCACTAACAAGCATGTCCATGTCACTCTCACAATCTTTCTCCTTGCTTACTCTAAATTTTTCCCAGACTTTCTTTCCAACAGAGGTATATGTTAGTTCACAATCTCTCTCCTTGCTCCCAATCAATTGACAACGTCTTTTGGCATATTTATCTCTCTGTTTAGTCCAAAAATAATAAAATAATACCCACGATGTCCTCCAGTAAGGTTTTATGGTGTCCTTAGGCCATGACACATTCTTAACGTGTTCACCTTGTGGATAGAGCAATTTTACCATCCAACACTTGGAACCTCGAGGTATTATATTTTCCACACAAAATTTTGGTACCTCAAGACTACACTAGAAAAGTATCTCGAGATACCAAAAATTTGTGGTACCTCGAGGTACGAAAATGTTGAATGGTAGAATTGCTCTTCGAGTATCCTATAATAAATTTTGCCTAATGAAAAATATATTTTTTCTTTCAGTCGCTTTATTGGTCAAATTTAATTTTAATTTTAAGTTTCTTGAATTCCCCTTCTAAACATCAGATTAATTAAAAAAAATCCTTGGATTCCTATTCTTTGGAATCAACATGAAAATAACTTATAGGGTGTATAAATCCTATAAATATTTAATTTTAGGAATGGATGATTCAGGGCCTGTTTAGTTCCCAAACAAAATTTTTCACACTGTCACATCGAATGTTTGGACACATGTACAAAGTATTAAATGTAGATAAAACAAAAAACTAATTACGCAGTTTGCCAGGAAATTGCGAGACGATTTTTTTAAGTCTAATTGCGCCATGATTTGATAATATGGTGCTACAGTAAACTTTTGCTAATGATGGATTAATTAGGCTTAATAAATTCATATCGTAGTTTCCTGACTAAATCTGTAAATTTTTTTCATATTAGATTATGTTTAATATTTTAAATGTGTGTCCGTATATCCGATGTGATATGCACGGGCAAAATTTTTTACCAAGCAGGCCCTCAGTCCACCTCCCTCCCAGTCCCAGCTGCTAGCTAGCTAGTTGGTAGAAGTTTGAGGGCAAAACCAAAAATAGTTTACAAATTGAAAAAAAGAAGAGAATATTGGGCCTTAAGTATCCTACATATTCTTCCAATTATTCTCAATTTATAGTTTTCTACGCATATTCAACCGTATTGTTGATTTTTTTCCCTATTTATTTTACATTTACATGATTTTAGCTACACAGCCCGCGATAACCGTGCAAATATTGCGGGCGATAACCGTGCGAATATCGCGGTTATCGCGGTAAACCGTGCGATTATCGTGGTGAAACCGTGATACCACTGAGTTTTGAATTCGAATTTTTGGATGTGATTTTTGTGCGATTTTAGGCGATTATCGCACGATTATCACGATTATCGCGCTACCGCGGGGTGGCAATAACCCCGGCCCAAACGATAAGGTAAACCCTGGGTAGAACACACCACGTCGGCTACTAAACTGACGTCCTGCAGTATGTCAGTATGTGGCGCTAGCTCAGCTTCAATTCCCAGTCGCAAATGAAGACCGGATGGAGCAAGTCAAGTCATGACGATATGGTTGCAGGATACGCATCGTTCGTCGTCGTCGTCGACGACGACTTGCTAATTTAGTAAACTCTCCTTTCCTGCGGCAAGCAACTGAGCAAGGCACCAAGGCCTAAACTAAAGCAGCCAGGTTGAAATTGAATTATATATATCTCGGTCAGGCCAGGCCCCTTCCAGAGCCAAGAAATTTCCAATTAAGCTGCGTCGCCAAGAAGGTTGGAAAGACATTAATTAGGAAGGGATTAGTAGTAGCCTCTAGCTGCTTATAAAAGGCAGGGTAGCAGCATAAGGTGGCATGAGCTTAGCTGCTGCGAAGTTACACGGCTACGCACCGTTCTTGCTAACTATATACGATTTCTTATACACTTATTTCTTTTGAGGCATAGCGTGCTGGCTAAGTATAGGTAGGTAGCTAGCTCTGCCGCTGCTTATAAAAAGGCAGTGCTGCACGGTGGTGAGCGTACCTAGCTAGAGCATAGAGAAGCAGGAAAGTTTTGGAGATCGATCGATGGCACAGCAGCAAGCCGGTGCAAGAGGCAGCAAGCTGGAGATCGTCGCCGCCCGGGGAGGAAGTGGCGGCAGCAGCAGCGCCGGCGATGCGGAGGCGCCGCCGTTGGACGTCCTGAGGCAGGACTCCCTCTACCGCGACGCGACGCGGCCGGCCCACGGCCACCATGGACAGGTGCTTGCTCATACTAAGCTATTATAAGTTATATGCATGCATGGCCATGGCCGAAAATTCAGCAAAAACATTTGTGGCACTAGCTTTCCTCTTGCCATCCATGAACATGGCGAACGAATCTGCCGCAAGCAGAAACTAAGTTGTACTCCCTCCGTCTTATAAAAAACTTAACTTAGGGGGAACGAATCTGGACAATATTATCTAGTAGCACACATAGTGTTGGCTAGGTAGGCTGAATGAGTGGTTGATATATGCAGGAGAGCTGGATGAGGACGCTGCGGCTGGGGTTCCAGTGCGTGGGAATCCTGCACGCCGACCTCGGCACGTCGCCGCTCTACGTGTACCAGAACACATTCAAGTACGGCATCAAGCACGAGGACGACATCATCGGCGTCCTCTCCCTCATCATCTACAGCTTCGTGCTATTCACCATGGTCAAGATCGTCTTCATCGCCCTCCACGCCAACGACGATGGCGACGGTGCGTGCAGTGTGCCCGACGACGCTTCCCAATACAAGTCTTCTTTGATCGATCATCACTAGTTGTTTGTTTGTTCTTACTATCGATTATAATTAATGGTTTTTTCAGGTGGGACATTTGCTCTGTACTCGTTGATCTCGCGGTACGCCAAGGTGTGCCTGATCCCAAACCAGCAAGCCGAGGATGAGCTGGTGACGAGGTACAACGACCACGGGAAGCCGCCGGCGACGCTGCGGAGGGCGCAGTGGATGAAGAGCCAGCTCGAGAAGAAGCCCGCCAAGATTGCCGTCTTCTTCCTCACCATCTTCGCCACCGCGCTGGCCATCAGCGACTGTGTGCTAAACCCTTCAGTCTCTGGTACACTATATAGCTAGATTAATGCACAATTATTGATTTACGCATAGTAATAATTGATATAGTTAGTGTTCGATCGACCTGACATGATTTTGATCTTTTTGTTGTTTTGCTTCAGTACTTTCGGCGGTCAACGGCTTGAAACTTAGAGCACCTCATCTGACAACAGGTACAGTGAGAAAACAGAAAGCAGTAGTAGTATTACCCCCCGGAATTCAGTTTAAAAAATGGCGAGTCTTTAAACGAACAGTGAACCAAATAACGTGAAAAGCAAATTGTCGGTTAATCAAATACTACATGGCTACAGTGGTGCATGGACCAAAAGTCTAATCCATATTATACATTATTTTCGGTTTCACACGTTGCATGTGACAAAATTGCATGCAAACGCGATCAAGTCTAACATAATTAATGCATAAGGACTAGATCACTCCTTGAACTGCACAACTAATGTTTCCTGATCATCTTGTCAAGACTATTAACTGTCCACAATATTATAGGAGATCTCGATTAAAAAACTGATGCTACGGTTGATTAATTAATTTACTAGGTTGTGACCCAAATTGCAACGTGAACACTATGGTATCATGACAGAACTTGTACTGATCAACGCGCATATAGATTTACTAGTTAATTGCTGATGAACTATTTTCATCTGAACAGACGAAGTGGTCTGGATCACGGTGGGAATACTGGTGGTGTTTTTCGCAGTGCAACGGTTTGGCACTGACAAGATTGGCTACACATTTGCCCCGGTTGTTGTTGTGTGGCTGTTACTCATCTCAGGGATTGGCATCTATGACTTGGTCAAGTACGATGTCGGTGTCTTGAGGGCGTTCAACCCCAAATATATCATCGATTATTTCCGACGAAATAAGAAGGACGGATGGGTCCAGCTCGGTGAAGTTCTTCTTACATTTACCGGTGAGCTTAATTAATTACATGTTGTACTGAGTCTTGTGTGACAGAAATGAACGAACAAACATTAATGTCATTAGGCAGATGATATTGCATTCACTCTGTTCATTTTGTTAAGCATGATGCAGTGACAGGACAGACATGTGCATCTGCATAATTGTGGATAGTTGTAAATAAGTTTACTTAATTGAAGCAATTTTGTCTTTTGAATAACAGGCACAGAAGCTCTCTTTGCTGATTTAGGATACTTCAGCATCAAATCAATTCAGGTAGACTGTTATTACTTAACATCCCTTTGAATTATTCAAGCTGAGGTCTGAAGATATTTACTTTTTTCTAGGGTAATGATAGAAGTGTCTCCATATATAATTTGAAAGTGATGCAAATATAATTCATTGATATTAATTATTTGAAGGCCCAGTTAATTTCTTCCCTGTTATGTTGACTGGTCTGGAGTGAATAGGGTTGAAAGATGAAATACAGCCAGTGGCTGTGTTGTGTTGGTAAAGCACACGTTAACATAGTACACCACCATTAATTATGTGCCATTGCTTTGACGTGATGGTCTCACCAAACAAAGGATAACTTACTAATGCAACTTTTCAAGTGCTGGTGTTTTGCCAATATTTATCCGATATAGGAGTACATATATATAGGTAGTTGTACATATATCATATATAATTAAACATTTTGAAACTGATCAATCTTTTCTATGTTTCAGTTAAGCTCTACCTTTGTCTTGCTCCCATCAGTGTTATGCACCTACATTGGGCAAGCAGCATACCTAAGGAAACACATGGATCAGCAGCACATACAAAACGCTTTCTTCAATTCCATTCCAAGTATGTAAACCAAAACATACATCACCTATCATAAGCTTCGAAATTCATCGTCATCACGTACTGACAGAATATACATGGCTCTTCCGATTGTAATTTACAGGACCTCTGTTCTGGCCAATGTTCGTTCTCGCTATCATGACGTCAGTCATCGGTTGCCAAGCCATGGTGTCTTGTGCCTTTGCAACCATGTCACACTTGCAGACACTGAATTGTTTCCCACGGATTAAGATACTGCACACATCAAGGCGTTATTCAGGACAGTTGTACAGTCCTGAAGTGAACTTCTTCCTCTGCCTACTTTCCTGTGTAATCACCTTAAGTTTCAGGACGACAGGTTTCATTGTCAAAGCACATGGTAAGGACACTTCTAAATGTGCAACCTTATTTATTTTTTAATTTCAAATACTGATGATACTGACTATTCTTCTTCATTGTCAAACAGAAATTTGTGTGGTCCTTGTGATGGTTATCACAACTATCCTGATGACTATAGTCATGCTTCTCGTATGGAAAGTAAATATTTGGTGGATCGTTCTATTCTTTGTCGTCTTCATGTCAACGGAGACCGTCTACCTATCAGCAGTTCTCTACAAGTTCACAAAAGGACCATACATGCCCTTGGCTATGTCAGCTGTTCTAATGGTGATCATGTTCGTGTGGCACTACGTGCATGTGAAGCGATACAAGTTTGAGCTTGAACATACCGTATCACCTAATAAGGTCAGAGAGCTCCTTGAACGGCGTGATCTAAAGAGGGTTCCTGGTGTGGGGCTCTTCTACACTGAATTGGTGCAAGGCATCCCACCGATATTCCCTCACCTTATCGAGAAAATCCCGACCATTCACTCGGTGATCGTGTTCATCTCTATGAAGCACTTGCCTATCCCTCATGTCGATGTCTCGGAGCGCTTCCTCTTCCGGCAAGTGGAGCCCAAGGAGTGCATGGTGTTTCGATGTGTCGCACGATATGGATATCGGGATACTCTAGAGATGGCTGATGACTTTGTCACCACTCTTGTCGAGTACCTCCAGTACTATATCCGGGACCTAAATCTATACAACACGGTTGAGCCACTCAAGATGAGCTGCCCAAGCATTAGAATTGATAGTTTTTCCTGGGATAGACGACCCTCAGGGCATGGCATTTATGCCGAGGAGATGCTTACACCAATCCAATCATTTTCTGAGCTCACAATGCATCCTGTTGGTATGAGCAGCCGATTAGCGCAATTCCAAGTAAGAAATCGATATACTAATTAATTACCATATAGCTGAACAACATGTTGAAAATTATGTATTGTTCTTATATCTGGATGCTAATAATTTCCTTTTTGTAAATCAGACAACTAAGATGAGCCTTGAAGAGATGTTGAAGATTGAGGAAGACCAAAAGTTGATCCAACGAGAAGTGGACAATGGTGTGGTTTACATACTTGGGGAGAGTGAAGTGGTAGCGAAACCACATTCCAACTTGCTTAAGAAAGTTGTTGTAAACTACATATTCAACTTTCTGAGGAAAAACTCTCGAAAAGGAGAGAAGATGTTGTCTATTCCACGCCGCAAGTTGCTCAAGGTTGGAATCACGTACGAAATATAAACATGCCAACAATCAGTAAGATGGTGGCTTATACACAAGGGGTGTAGATTTGTCGAGCAAGCATATATCATGCATGCAGGGTTTGCTTACTTGCAAATGTACTTGGATTTTGTTTGCTTGCGTGACTCTCCATGATAGGAAAAAAAATAAAAGAATTACATGCAAGGAGGAAAATATGCCAGCAAAATGAAAACAGTCATAATCGAGAATATCACAATGCGATATATGGGTTCCATATATATAGAATTTCTTTTTTCATTTATGTCCCAACTACAACCGCAAGATGAGTTGTGTTATGAGTCACCAAAACAATTGGACTGTACTAGATTACATTTTGTTTTGTTTTTGTTGGAAAATTTATACCGCTGAATTTTATATGAACAATCAATTGATTCCCCAAAGAGATTTTTGTTTTGTAGACGAAAAGGACAGAAAATGACATTCTTTTTATGTTGACAAATATTATTTATTATTATTATGAATTAACTTGTTGAAACTTTGCCAAACATAATGATCACCTGAATTTTAGATGCAATAATCCAATGATAAGTAGCCCTTCTCAAGAAACTAATGTGCAAATCCACAACCTTTACATAAGTAGAACACCATGAACCACAAAACTAACTTTAAAAAGTAGCATAATTATTGAACTTAATTGTTTTGACATTATAGTCACGTTTACACACCACCAATAGAAAGGTAGAGAATGTACTCTTTTCATACTATACATATGAATATTATGAATTAATATAAATCCATAGTGGAGATATGTTATAATTAATAATTATACTCAAGAAACGTTCCATCGGAGACCAACTACAGTAACACAATCTAATTTTATGACATCATGAAACTCCTCTTCAAATGCCATCATAACTTACTCCATAACGATTGATGTTTGTTATCAAAAGATTGAATGGATGGGGGTACTCTGCATGTTGTTTGGATAATATGCAACAAAGAAAAAATCTCCTATAAAACTGATTGTTTGCTCAATTCCTTATATGCTTTAAAAAAATGCACCACTATTTGGCTCTACCTAAGTTCTCTAGTCCCTTGCTAGCTCCTCCACTACCTTGCTATTAAGGGTGGTAGAAAAACATGATTTTGCCATTCTTTATGTTATTCATCATTCCTCTCCTTTCGTTTCCACTACTACACCAAAATCCATCACTGCCAGTAAGGTGTGAATAGGCAATGATAGGGTATCACTGCTGGTTCATCTTGGCTTTCTGCCCAAACTGAAATAAATCAGATGTGATATTGCTATTATTGTCGGTTCTTGGTTTGCACGAGTAGTGATTTAACACTGTCCGGGGACCGGCATCGATGTAACGACATCATTCACTGGATCCAGGGGTCCCGTTCAAATGCTAGCTAGAAAGCTAAGGGGTTTGATGAACAATACCTCTCCAATGCCTCTCCCCCATCTGTAGTGCCACCTCTCCTGCCTCCGGCCAGATCCTGCCAAGGATGTGGCGCGGGAGATGGAGTTAGGTGGGTGGTGACCATGGGCGAGGGCGAGGGTAACAAAGGGGAAAGGCATCATGGTGATGAACTTGCTTTCATTATATACCTTGGTTGTGGTGCTCGTGGTGCTAGCCGCTGCAGTGAAGTGGAAATGTTGTGAAGGCCAGTGTTGGCAGTCGTTAAACACCATTTCACCTCCAACCTTAAGACCTAAAATAGGTAAAACTAATGTTGAATCATCGATTTTCTTTAGACTAATATTTTTTACTACTTTTGTTATCTCTTAGTCATTTTGCAAGTATCAATCAAATAAAGTTGGAAATTCACAAAAAAAATTTGAAGAAAGGCCACCAGAAGGCCGCTACACCCCTTCTCCATTGGCAATATTCAGTTTTTCTTGAAGTAAGTTTCAAACAACTTATAATCTAGTGCAATATATATTCAGTTTAAGAATAACTTAAACAAATTATAACACTATAATACTCCTTCTATCCCAAAACACAACACACAACTACTTTTTTTTCGATGATTCATCATACAAAGCATGCATGTATGTAATTAATTAACTAGCACCTCCCTCACCTCTAAATTCATTTTTTTAAATCCTCTATCCTCGAGATCTATAATCCCATTAGGTGCATGCATTGTGTTTATTATAGTAATCCAAATGAGAAGGTGCTAATGTTTTTTAATTATTTGTGTTAGTGGTAGTTCGGCCTTATATTTTAGGATGGCGGGGGTACTTAGTTTGAAAATCACCTCCATTTTTTAATGTAATGAGTTTCTAACTCAGTATTCCCTCCGATTCCATAATTTTGGATGTTTTGGACAAAGTTGAGATTAAGCTTTTATAACTTTGACTATTAATAACTTTAACAATATTTAGTTTAAAGGCACTAGAATAACATATATAGATTTGTCTTACCAAGTATTATAATTAAAGTAATAACATATTTATTTAGTGTATATATTATAATAGAAATATATAGTCAATGGTATATTTTGCAGACCGTGTCATCTATCTATTATATACTAAAAGTCCATTAAACTTCCTACAAACGCTCTCAAGCTGCCACGTGGCGCTCTAATAAATTAGAAAAAATCATAGAAATTATAAGAAAAAAGCAAAACATCTACCCCTTGATTTTCACTTAAATTAGTGGGTCCAATATTATACACCGTTAGATGAAATCGATCTTAAAACAAACTAAATAGCATGGGGTCCCACCTATCCTCCTCCCGCGCATTGGCATGGCAGGTATATACGTACGTACATGGCTCCCTTTTTTTTTCCCTTTTTTTCTTCTTTTTTTCCATTTATATATGTAATGGATATATTTTTTAAAATAATAATAATTTTACAAACAAAGAATCTACAATCATATAACTTAAACCGATGTACTCTTTACTTTGTACTATTATTTTCAAATAATGCACTATTTTAAAATAAATTTTACACAATTATATTATGTACCTATCAAATAAACAATTTAAGATCTATATTAACTAATTTATACATGTACTTAAACTGATGGCCTCATTATTTAAATCATCATATCTATTTTTTATTACATTGGTCTATTATTCTCAAGTAATGCACTGTTACAAAATAAGGTCTACACCATTATATTGTGTACCCATTAAATTAACAATTTAAAATCTATATTAACTAATTTACACTTACACTAGAACCGATGGACCAATTATTATAATCATTGGATCTATTGTTTGCTAATAAATAAAGTGGCTGAAATTCTCTTTTTGCCTGCTGCACAATGCACGTCTACACCTTTGCCTTTTGCACGCGTGACAAAGCGTACTGTCTGAGACATCTAAGGTGATCACAACCACTGTAGCACTACCGCTTTGCCACATATCAAATCATATATGGAGATGATTAATTTTGTTAATAACACGAATTGCCACATATCAAATCATATATGGAGATGATTAATTTTGTTAATAACACGAAAAGAAAATTAAAGGTGTGATACATCGAGAGAATAATTAACCACCGTAGGTTGTGTTTTTCCTAACACTTAGCTCTGTTTAAGCTAAAACCGAAAGTTGATTACATAATAATTCTAGTGTATTTGTGTAATGTCGTATTTAGATTTTGTACTATTTGTTCGTGAAGGCGAAAGGAATCATTATGTTATAAATGTGAGCGCAATATTAACGAATATTAATAGAACTCTTACTACGACAAGGGTGATACTAGGGAGTTTAAGACCCTCTCTTTTTTTCCCGATTCTATATTTTTGATTTTTGTTTGCACACTTTCCAAGTTTCTAAATGGTGTCTTCTTTAAACAACATTTTAACTTTTTAGAAGTCAATTCATTCGTTTATACCCTCAAATAGCTATCACATAAATTAGATAATTCATCAATTTCAGCTATCCTAAACCTTAAGTAGTACATATTTTTTTATGCAAGTCATGGTGATCAGTAAATTGGTGATCAACGGATAATCAAAGTCGTAAGATGAATATGTAAGAGCTACTCTGAACAATTGTAAATATATGTCAAAATTAATTGCTATTAATTAGACATCTAATGGCTTGCTAGCCACAAAATTACTTTTTCTCTATATGTATATAAACATGGACGAAGCTGAAACAAATAGTACCATATGTCCCATACATATATATTGTGTGGTTAATATTCTAATTACATGTGTTAATGTCCTTTAAAATTCCTTAAAATGCTCTCAAGCTGCCACGTGGTGCTCTAATAAATTAGGGCAAATATTAGAAATTCTAAGAAAAAAAAAGCAAAGTATCTATTATTACTTGATTTTCACTTAAATCAGTAGGTCCAATATTATAAACCGTTAGATTAAATTGATCTTAGAACAAACTAAATACTACGAGGTCCCACCTCTCCTCCCACGGCATAGGTATGCACCTACATGCGTGGGTACGTACAATTCCCCTCCCTTTTTTCATTTTTTCGCTTTCTTCTTTTTTTTCCATGCATATGCTTCCCTCCCTTTATTACTATATCATTCGCCTTTATGAGACAGTTTAATCTTAAGAATTTTGAGTATCTTGCACTCGCATTTTTTATTTGTGGCCGTACTACACAGTATGTATATAGATGAATTGTATGATAATTAACTAGCAATAGTTTCTTATTTACTCGAGAAAATAAAAACATGATTCAAAAGTAGTAAGTATTTAATCCATCTCCTACTCCAAAGTTTGTAAATGGTTTTTTAAGATACCTTAAGAAAAATAAAACCCTTAAATTATTATAAAATAGCATTATCCAAACTTTAGTTTTCCCTTAATCTATAAGACAAAATTTCTGAACAAACAATAATTTTACCTTTCAATAATATAAATGCCCGCGCATACGTGCGGGCCACCTTGCTAGTTGTTTAAAACGTAAAGAAGAATTATGATACTAGAGGGAGTATTAATAATAGCAGCCTAGCTTATTATAAGTTTTTTTTCTTGATCTGAGTTGTTCATATAGTTAGGATTCATCTCTAACTAAATGCAAATTGTGTACCATTGATCTGAAGTACGTTTCTTGATTTCCATATTAATTGTACCTCTTCCGTTCGTCTGGACACTGCATTTGAGGCTGGTTTTGCTATTGTGCCGTTGGTTAGGAAGCTTCACCAGTGTCAACATTATTTCCACAAAACCAATTAATAAGATTCAGAGTACGTACGTAAATAACTGAACAAAATGGTGGAGCGTGCAAGGTTGGCAGCATGCAGGGGAGCAAAAGAGATATCATAATCTCAGAGCATATATCAAACCTGCCGTCTGCCGAGAGAAGCACAAACAAGCAAACCAGATTAATTAAGTGCAATATGTGCATGTGCAAGGTTTTATGTGATGCCGTACATTTGATAG